TGTCATATGATTTCACTATCAGAATTGTTCACTTTTTTAACCATTACGTGTCAAATAATTGATGTTTCATCATGAATGTGCTACTTGTACTAAATTGTCAATTTATTCAATATATATGAATAACTAAATGATCTTCAATTTAATTGGTTTTCTTACTGATTAAGAAAATGAACAGTTCAAATGTTAAATTTTGTACGGTAAAAAAACACTAATTGCAGCGTGGTGCACCCCATTGTCATTTTATTGTCAATGGACGCCCTTATTTGTTTCAATTTTCTATTCATAAAATTACAGAAATCAACTTGAGAGAGAAAATGAATCATGACTTGTGCTTTTCGATTCTCTAATGCAAGTGGGTTAGGGGAAAAGTGGGCAGACTGCGGCCATGGATTCTTCGAAGAAGAATGAACAAAGGGAAGGATTAGTTGGGGCTCTACAACTTTAATATACATGCACCCTCAAAACCAGGATCTTCTTAATTCTTATTGTCCAGATTAATTGTCAATTTTGCCACCTTGCTGCTAAAGATTTGTACATATTTTATATTTCTAGGCCACCAAAAAAGAGAGGATAATATATGCATTTCACTCATGGAGAATCCACATATCTCACAACTTCTGATTAACGTATTTTATTGTACAAATTTCATAATTAAAATTGTTCAATAAATTCATTTGAAGATTATCCTTATAGAAAATCATTTGAATCGGAGACTATTTAGTTAGGGTGGTGTCTACACACCTATTTTCACTTTTTACACATATATCTCAATTTTCAACTGTCGAGTAAAATGAATTGAAGAATAACAATAAAAAAAAATAACCTGGGTATGAGAAGTTAAAAATGGTGTGTGAATAACACTACCCTTTAATTATTCGCATTAAATAAATGAATCTTTCATTATAAATGTGTCATTATATACAATTGGATGACTAAATATTTTCGGATTAGAAAGACTTTTTGCAAGAATAATTATCAAATAAAGATGAAGAAAATTGAACAGTTTGATTATAAAATTTGTACGATCATACATTATTTGCAGTAGGATATGGTGTATCCCATGAACTTGTAGGCTTTGGAAGAAGGAGGTGGATTGTCTGCCCTCTCATTTCCATACTCTTCTCATCCTTTCCTGTTTGTGTGGTCACGGTTAAGCCACGTTAATATTATATATATATATATTTTTATAAAAATAATAAAATAAAAAGTAATAGGAATATAAAATGTTGACGTGGCTTAATCGTGACCACACAAAAATAGAAGGTGATGAAAAAAGTATGGAAATGAAAGGACAAACAATCTATCTCATTGGAAGAAGAATCCACCGAATTTCTGGCATGTGAAGATGATGATCTCCTGCTTTTCCGGCTTCTTCCCATCCTACTTTCTATATAAAATTCTCCTTTCTTTTTCATCCCTGTTATTATTTTGTATACTTTTCTCTTAAAAGGTTTTAGGGATCGCCATTATTGTTATTATTATTTTGCCATAGAGGAATCAATTAGCATTTTTCATTAAAAAAAAAAAACAATTAGAATTTCTCATAAAAAAATCAGTTAGCAGTATTTGCACAAGACCATACCAGAAAAGTGGGGTTAGCACAAGACCATACCAGAAAAGTGGGGGTTTTTTTAATTTTTAGTCAAAGTTATGATGCCTGTGTTTACATTTGGTACACAGCTTTGTACCTTAAATTACATGTTGAGCTAAAGTGTAATAAAGGTCACAACTTTAGTTCCATTTGTAAATATCAAACCTTTTAAGGAAAGAGATTCTCATTTTTTGACTCACTCCACACTGAATTTTAACAATTCGAATAATTTACTTTTTAAGTCTCAATTCATAGATTATTTTTACAAAAATTCAATTCAAATCCGAAACCATTTATCTATTTAGTTGTCACGATGAAATTTCAATGTGTTTTTAGAACGTTTGTCAATTTATTTGAATTCAATTAAATGCCTCAAATATTTCTGATTTGGCTAGTATTTTGCAAAGAAGATTTATAAGGTGCAACTTAAAAAAACGACGATTCGAATTGTTGAAGTTTGATGTGGTATGAGTTCCACAACTAATTTCTATTTATTTGTAAGACTCTTACACAATCCACCACAATCCATTTCAAATTCTTTTAAAGACTCTTAAAATCCACCACAATCCATAGGAATTTTGTAAGAGTCTTTAATCATCTTAAATCCTATCAAATCTATCACTTTTAAAATCCTCAAAGATTGTTTACCAAAAATCACTCAAATCTAAAATCATATGACCATTGGATCAAGGGTTTAGGGTTTCTTTGTAGAACCATATTCGTTAATTTTTTTTTCACTACAAATGAATATTTTAATGATTCTGGATTTGTCTAATTTTTTGTAACAATGATCTATAAATGATGGTATAAAAGATAGACAATTTAGATCATTAAAATACATTATAGAGTAAGCTCTACAAAAATGTGTGTCAAAAATGTGTAAAAAAGATAGTGCTACAAATCAGCCTCATATATATAAATAAATTATAACTTTTCAATACATTGGAGTAAAAAATATTGAATTTTGAAGATGAATGGAGAAAATTTAAGAGAATATATCCTCTCCAGATCTTTTCCACCGAGGTCATCGGATCAAGTGATCCGGACCTTTCAAATTTCATCCAACGGCTAAAAATTATTACAACTTTTAAAAGATCAAAACAAATATGCCGTTGGATGAAATTTAAAATACCTGGATCACTTGATCCGTTCACCTAGCTCTTCTCCAAATTTAATTAATTTTTAGGAATTAAAATAAAAAACGAGCATCATCAAAATGATGTGCATGATGTTGTGGCGGGTCCAAACCTCCAGAAAAAACCCCAAAGAAAAGGAAAATATAGTTGTGTGCTGGATGGATCACTAAAATAATAATATAAATAGCCCCTCCAGTCAAACATAAAGTGCCTTGCCACATCAGCAACCACATAAAAAGGAAACTTCTTGGGAAATCTCAACCAAATCTCATCCCCACCGTCCAATACTTTACCAAAGTTAGGTAAAATCCATTCACACCCGTCGACGGTTAAAAAAAACACAACAAAGAACTCCTCGGCTAGGGCAACGTACTGGGTGTAACGACTACTAGGCTATGTTTTCAGCTTTTCCTTCTTTATGTCTCTCGGAACATGACAAAATAAAAAAAATAAAAAAACGTTGCATATGCTCTTCAATTAGGGTAAAATCTTGAGTTTAATCATAATTATGTCAACTTCTCTCTATATATCTCTTGTCACGTGACAAGTTTTCATCAACCTACCTCTTTCATTAGGTGACCTTTTCATCTAAGAAATAAAAACGTGAGCGACCATCTTATCTTATCATCTCTATGTTTATCTCGCAGATCACAATTTTATATCCACATTTCTCATCACCTAAAATTGTCACTATGAGAAAGAGATAACCCTACGTACAAATGTACAAAATCTCTCCTAAACTACATTTATAATATTTCACAATTCTATAGTTTTAGAGAATATAAAAAAAGGAACTTTAACGAAAAGCTCCCGGTACTGTTCACTTTAACGAGAAACCACATTTTTACACTAAAAAGTCAATCATGGTACTATTCACTTTATCCTTTATTTTGTTATTATCATTAAAATTCAAAGTTTTTAAGTCATTTTCATTAGTTTTCCTTATAAAAAAATGTTGTAGATAGTGTTTTACCGTAGGACGGAAAGCAATCATACTATATATTTTGGTGCGAGTTCAATTCTCATTGATTCTACTCCCCCTAACAACTTACTATCTATTTCATTAACGCTATCGTTGTACTAAAAATTGTTATTTACTAAATTCTTGTAAGAAAATTCCTAAAACTTATTGTACAATAAACACAACCTAATAAACAATGTAGTATTATTAAATTCACTAAATTTACATAATGTATGGAGTGACGTTTTACATGTAAGGTAAAAAAAAAAAACCCTAATTTATTGTAAGGTACAATGTTAATGATTGTATATGTTATAATTTGAACGAATTAATACTCATTATTTACATGCCACATGATTACTATCACACACAAATACGCCTCTTATTAAGGGTTAGGATCACCTTAAATTTCTTTCAAGCATACAAAACAAACATATCATTTGATGAATAAATTTAATAAATAAAATTCTGTTTTTGAAATGCCCTACTTTGATTCTTTATATTAAAAATTGATTAATGTCATCTTCCATGTTGTGCTCGTACATAAATAGTTTTCGCCGTCAAATTTTTACTGGTATGCTAACGTGGATTCCATAGCTGAGAGTTTCGAAAACAACAAAAACCATTTGTGGTGAAAACCTGTGAATTAATCAATTGACCCTGACACTGCCAAGGGGAAATCTGAACTTAACAAGAATCTGAGGTGAATTTGGTGGCGAATTTGATAATATAAATTTATATAAAAAACAGATGGGGACAGAGGGACTGATTAGGAATTATCATTAATCAATGTCTGCAGACGGTATAATCAGTTCAATCCGTTAACGTTTTTTTTTTTTGGTTGAAACTTATACGACTTATTAACTTGATAAAAAAAACACGAAAATAATAAATTTTGGATCAATTCATTAACGAGTTAGGTCATTATTTGATCACCCGTTAACGAGTCAGTTGTTATTAGGTCACCCTAAAAGCTCTAATAAGATATCGTTTGATAGATCTAGACATTATTAGGCATGACAATTTCTAGCATGACTTGACAAGAAAAGACACAACCCATTAATGAATCGAATCGTTATTAAGTCGCCTGTTAAGAAACCTTTAAGATAATAAATTTGACACGACCTATTAAGATAAAGGGTATGACATAAAAATACACGAATACGAATCGCTTTTCATGCTTAAGTATAACATACGCTAATGAATATGATCCATAAATACTCAATGATGGTGTTTAATTAAATTAATCCCTGTTTTCATATTGTTAATCCTTTTGTTTTGTTTTTTAGCCAAGTCTGAAGAGAAGCTGTTCGAGTGAGAAGGAGAGAGTGAAAGCTCTGCCTTGCTTTGCTTAAGTCTATTTCATGTAGGGCAGTTGATTTCATAAAGTAATAAAAAAGCTGTCCGAGCTTTGTTTGCTTGCTTTGCTCCCTCTCTGGTTTCCCGGCGACACGTTAGTTTCTTTTTCTTACACTTCGATCCCTTCAACAATTCCAACTTCACAAAAACCCAACTTTGCAAACTTTGCAAGAACGCCAAAACCCAAGAAAAAAACTTTAACCAAAAGAAAAAACACAAAGTTTTGTCTTTGTGTGATCATCTATGTACCCTTTTCGTTTCTGGAGTTTATACAAATAACCCAGTTTCCAATTTGCTTAGTTTTTTCAGCAGGTAGGAGTTTTTTTTGCTGATTTGAAAGCTTGAGCTGCAAAGTTGTGAGTTTTTTTTTACTGGGTGTGGTTTTGTATTTTGGTTGGTAGGCTTCATCAGGAATTCAGAGAGGTTTGCTATGATTTGAGCTGTCTGGTTTTGAAAAGGGCAATGACGGGTTTCTTCAAATTTGGTGAAATTAGAAAAAAGTCAGAATCTTGTTGCATTTTTGAGATTGGTAAAGGAATTGGTTATCTGGGTTCAATGTGAATTGGAGAAGGTTTTGAATTGAAAGTGGTTGTTGTTCTTCAAGCTCTTTTCTTTTTGGAACAAGTTGTACTGCAATTACTGGGTTATGGGCTGCAGGTAGACGAGCAAGAAGTTGAATTTCTGTGAGAAAAATCAATCAAGTATTAAACATGAAGGTTCCCACCAATGGGTTATTAGCAAATTCTGGGGAAGGTGAGGCTTCCTGAATTTTGGAAAATTTAGTCCTATGTTTGATGTTGTTTATTAATTTTTGTGAGTTAGCTTTAGTTGGATGCTTTTGAAAGGCTCTCTTAACTTTGATTTCTGCAGAAAGTGGAAGTACTTTTATGGTTGGGGATTTGAAATTTTCATTCTTTGATTGCACTTCATATGATTTCGACTCATAAATTCAGTATATGAATTGATCACTTTCCAAAGAATTATGTAATATTTCTGTGCAGAGTTCTTCATACATAAATGATTTACGGTTCTTAAAACATAATTTGAACCACTTTTGAAATAAACCATATATTTTAACACGGCAGATCTTGTGTTCTTCGAATCTCATACGGATAATTAGGCTGTTGTGGCTGAATTATGCAAATATTGGATGATCTGTTAATTTTCAGATATCGTATGACATGGTGTCACGGGAAACAAATCTGTTTTGAGAAGTTGATCAGTTGACATTTAATTATCGTGTCAAGAGTTTTGACTTATCTTCAACGCTGATGAAGTTTTGTTTTGTCTGCAGCCGGAGAACAAAAGAGAATTAATTCGGAGTTATGGCATGCTTGTGCTGGGCCATTGGTTTCTTTGCCTCCGGTTGGAAGTCTTGTGGTGTACTTCCCACAAGGCCACAGCGAGCAAGTGCGTCTTTCTCTATATATGTAAAGAAGCAACAGTTTTTCTGAGATTTGGGTTTCTGATGGAATTATCATAACTATTTTGCAGGTTGCAGCATCGATGCAAAAGGAGACTGATTTAATACCGAACTACACCAATCTTCCGTCTAAATTGATATGCATGCTTCACAATGTCACATTGCATGTATGATAGTTCCACGCAGCTACTTTAGAATGATGAAGTTTATTTTACGGATGTAAAGCTTTTTTGTTTTCTGTAACATGGTTGATTTTAAATACATTACTCATGTATCTCTACATTCGTTTTATTGTACAGGCTGATACCGAAACAGATGAGGTCTACGCACAAATGACTCTCCAACCAGTAAACAAAGTAGGTCAGCCATTCTTTTTGTGAATTAAGCAATACTTTACCCGCTTCCCCTTTCACATGTAATCATGTTTCATGTTCACTTATTTGCAAAACTGTTTGAAATTCGGCAGTATGAGAAGGAAGCATTGCTGGCATCTGACATGGGCCTCAAACAAAGTAGGCAACCTGCTGAGTTTTTCTGCAAAACTCTTACAGCTAGCGACACGAGCACTCATGGTGGATTTTCTGTACCTCGTAGAGCAGCTGAGAAGATCCTCCCACCTCTAGTATGTAAACCTTTGAAACTTAAATTGTTATTTGAAAATATCAAAGAAGTCGGTGTAGTCCATTCCGTGTAGTGGTAACTAGAAGCAGTTATCTTTGATAGGATTTTTCTATGCAACCACCTGCTCAGGAGCTTGTTGCAAAAGATTTGCATGATAGTGCGTGGACATTCAGACATATCTATCGAGGTATTTCCCTCTTTAAAACGTACTCCTAGTGTTCTCGTCCTTCCCCAAAAAGCATAAATTGTTTATGCGTTTTTTTTTTCTTATTAGATATTTAGATGCAAATATCTGAATTTTCATTCTAACTGTGTAGCAATTTCATTCCAGGCCAACCAAAACGGCACCTGCTGACTACGGGTTGGAGTGTTTTTGTTAGCAACAAAAGACTCTTTGCTGGAGATTCTGTTCTTTTTATAAGGTATGAAAGACGTTTTCAGATAGATGATTAAATTCGTCCCGATATACTTCCTTTGGTTAGTGAGTGACAACAACCTGGTTGTATGTAGGGATGAAAAATCTCAGCTTCTCTTGGGTATAAGGCGTGCTCATAGACAGCAGCCAGCTCTCTCTTCATCAGTCATTTCCAGTGATAGCATGCATATCGGCATTCTTGCGGCTGCAGCTCATGCTGCTGCAAATAACAGTCCATTTACCATATTTTACAACCCAAGGTAACACTTGGATGTTTAGATTTTCTTGTTGGTTTTTAGGAAATGTCGTCTGTAATTACACTTTGATTGGTTCTGACAAAATTTATTTGATCTTATAGGGCAAGCCCTTCTGAATTTGTAGTACCTCTAGCCAAGTACAATAAAGCGATGTATACCCAAGTTTCACTTGGCATGCGATTCAGAATGATGTTTGAGACTGAGGAGTCAGGAGTACGCAGATACATGGGCACAGTCACTGGCATCAGCGATTTGGATCCTGTTAGATGGAAAGGTTCCCAGTGGCGCAATCTTCAGGTATTGATTAGCCATTCATATGGTATTTAGGCTTTAGCTAAGTTTACATAACGTTGTGTGCGTCTATATCTGAGTGACACTTGATTGGTCTTTTTTTTTTTTGCTCAGAGTTCATTTTGCAGCTCCCATTACCAGATACAGATTGAATCGAAATTTTCTAGGCGTTCTAGACATGTACTTAAGCTTAACCAGATATTGATGTTCTTTGTACTTTTAATAGGTTGGATGGGATGAATCAACAGCTGGTGACCGGCCTAGCCGAGTTTCAATTTGGGAAATTGAGCCTGTTATAACTCCTTTCTACATATGCCCTCCTCCATTTTTCAGACCCAAGTTTCCCAAGCAACCAGGGATGCCAGGTAAACCATATTGACAAGTTACCTAGATTCTTTGAAGTTTAGAGTCTTCAAAGTCGAGTAACTCGTAAGGAATATGTTTAAAAAGTTAGCTTGAAGAAAAAATTTGCCAGTGGAATCCACAAACATTGTATGTCCACATGTATCATATCCTGTCGGAAAATCTGTTTGTAATCGAGTCCTTTTGCAGATGATGAATCCGACATCGATAATGCTTTCAGGAGAGCCATGCCTTGGCTTGGAGATGAATTTGGCATGAAGAACTCGCCAAGCTCGTTTTTCCCTGGTTTGAGTTTGGTGCAGTGGATGAACATGCAACAAAATAATCAGTTTTCAGCTGCTCAGTCTGGATTTTTCCCATCCATGGTCCCTCCAACCGGCCTGCAAAATAACCTTGGTACTGATGATCCATCCAAGTTATTGAGTTTTCAAGCCCCGGTGCTGTCTTCGCTCGGTCTCCAGTCAAATAAATCAGCTCCACAAAACCATGCTAGTCAAATGCAGCAGCCGAATGTGACATGGGCTCAACAGCAGCAGCTGCAGCAGTTGATGCATAATCCTATGAACCAACAACAGCAAAGTAACCCCCAACAGCAGCAGCTGCAGCAATTATTGAATTCTTCGGTGAACCAACATCAGCAAAATCACCCCCCGCAGCAGCAGCTGCAGCAATTACTGAATTCTTCGGCAAACCAACATCAGCAAAATCACCCCCAGCAGCAGCAGCAATTATTGCAGACTCCAACGAACCAACAGCTCCATAATTTCTCCCATCAGCAGCAGCAGCGGGAGCCCCAACAACAGCAAGAGCTGCAAAACTTGTTGCAGCATCAGCAGCTGCATCAACAGCAACCACAACGGCACCAGCAACAACAATTATCTCAACCGAATCCGGTAAATAATGGTTCTGTTGCTCCTAACCAGGTCCCGGGCCAAAATTCACAACAACCAGTTATGTTCTCCCAACATCAACAGCAGCAATTACTAACAGGGAATACCCAGCAAGCTGTCCCTTCTTCTAGTAAGAATTCATTTCAGTTGCCAACTGGACAACAAAATTCACAGCTCCAGCAGCAGCAACTAGAACCGCAACCAAGCCTCTTACAAAGGCAGCAGCAGGCAGCACAATTGCAATCACCCCCACATCAATTGTTGCAACAGAGTGTGTCACAGAAAGTACAGCAGCAGCCACAAGTACAGCAATCATCTCCGCAGGGCATCTCTGAGCAACAACTCCAATTACAGTTGCTGCAGAAGTTTCAGCAACAGCAGCAGCCACAATTACTCTCCTCGTCAAGCTCACTTTTGCAGCCTCAACTCTTACAGCAGCAGCTGGCCCGCCAACAAAACCAGCAGTTACAACAGTTGCCTATGACTCAGCATCATCAGCAACAGCTAAGTGGCAACGGCTTCTCGACGGACAAACTTCTCAACAACTTTGCAGCTCCTTCGATGATGCAGTCACAACATATGCCTTCCATCCAGCCCCAGAACCAGCACAAGCCACTTACAGCAATCAGAAGCCATTCCGGTCTTACAGAAGGCGATGGTCCATCATGTTCAACTTCCCCTTCTACTAACTGCCAGATGTCCCCATCAAACTTCTTGAACAGGAATCAGCAAGGAATGGCCATGTTGTTGGGGGATTCAGTGGCCGAACCGGCTCATAATTTGGTTCAGGAGCTTCAGAGCAAGTCTGATGTTTGGGTCAAACATGAGCCGCCCAGCTCAAAAGGACCAGACCATATAAAATATAAAGGTACAATCACTGATCAGTTGGAAGCTTCATCATCTGGAACATCGTATTGTCTGGATACTAGCACAATCCATCAGAACTATGCACTTCCCACCTTCTGTTTGGATGGTGATGTTCAATCGAATCCTCGAAGCAGTCTTCCATTTTCCGCTAATATTGATGGATTGGCACCGGACACTTTGTTGTCAAGGGAATATGACTCTCAAAAAGATCTTCAGAACTTACTGTCTAATTATGGTGGGACGCCAAGAGACATTGAGACAGAGTTATCCACTGCTGCAATCAGCTCTCAGTCATTTGGGGCACCAAACATACCTTTCAAAGCTGGGTGCTCAAGTGATATTCCCATAACTGATGCTGGAGTTTTAGGCAACGGATCGTGGGCAAACCAGGCTCAACGTATGAGAACATATACAAAGGTTTGTCACTCTACTGAATAATCTTTGGTTTGTTCATTTTGAAGTGAGGTGCATTTGTCATGAAACTTGTAAACCAACTACGCTGCAACTGGAGGAAACTTCATCGCACCTTCACGGATTCAGCTAGTATATAATGATAATCTTATGACTCTTTCCATTTAGTTTTTTTGCTGTTTCAACAATGTCAAGATTTCGTGATATATATTCATTTTCTTCATCAAAATACCTTTGCTTAATACTGAATTCAACAATTTCTAGGTTCAAAAGCGTGGATCTGTGGGAAGATGCATTGATGTCAACCGTTATAAAGGCTATGATGAGCTCCGGCAAGCTCTTGCCCGCATGTTTGGGATTGAAGGGCAACTAGAAGAGCCACACAGAACGGACTGGAAACTTGTATACGTGGATCATGAAAATGAGATTCTTCTCGTTGGTGATGATCCATGGGAGTAAGTTCAAGAACCCTGCAATAGCAGATAGCAAAACCTTTTGCCTCTCCATTCGCTTTGCCTCATACATTCCTTTTTTAATTGCTTTTAGGGAGTTTGTGAGCTGTGTCCAGAGTATAAAGATATTGTCATCCGTTGAAGTACAGCAGATGAGCTTGGATGGAGACCTCGGCAACATTCCAGTCCCCAATCAAGCTTCTAGCGGAACTGCCAGTGGAAATGCATGAAGACCTCAGTATGATGATAACTTTGCAGCCTCGTTTTACCGGTAAGGGTTCAAATATTGAAATGATCAAGTCTTCAGCAGATGAATTCCCGTCTGGTTTGCAACTGAGCTGTAATCGTTGTGAACAGAATTCCTCTCGTTCGATGCTAATACAACAATCAGAATTGGAGTCTCCCCAATCATCGAGGGACAAAATTGTTCCTCGTCCGGTGTGGAAACTACTGGTTCCTCGAGTTTGGTTAGTTGAGTTCCTTTAACTTCCGGTAGCAGGTCAGCCGAAGCTCGAAGACACCTCTAACACAACGGTGACTATAGTCGTAGTCCTTGCATATATTGTTGTAAGCTTCATAAGTGGGGTTTTTGATGCGGTATGGCGGGATGAAATGTATAATACGATCTTTCTTTCTTCGAGACCGATTCGACATTCAAATTATCGAATCAAAGAGATGGAATATAGAACTCAAGTTATAACTCGTTTCAGATGTAATGGCCCCAAGATTTCGATCACAAAAGAATCACGTCGTTAAACACCAAAACCTCCGTTGGTTGATGAAATTTCCGGTGGAGGTAAGATTTTCCGGCGAAAGCTAGAAACTTTGATATATAAAAACCCGAAGATTCATTTCCGAAACTGTTTCAACCGCAATCGTTATACTCCAACTGTTATTACATTCAGAAGTACAGAGAAGGCAGTTGAGGCCCTCAAATCTATGTGATTAGAAAATGTCTTAAAAGAAACTCTGCGAGATACTTCAAAAACTTGAGCTCATCTAATTCAACAACTAAGAAAGAATGGCGATGACATCCGAAGCTCTCAAGGCTATGTACTCAGTACCGTCTTTGCCCTTGAAGTCATTCCCTGCATACTTGGAGTACAAAACTGTGCTTCCCTGGGATATGGATAGTGGTTTCCTGTTTCCTTCCTCATCAAGAGTACCGGGTCCGACGGCAATCACCTGTTACATCATAGGCAGAGCATGAACAACAATGTCTCACAAGAACCTCATCCACAATAGCATAAATGCCTTGAGCTAAGATGAAAAGTTTCATAACCCATTACCGTGCCAATGGAGGGCTTCTCCTTGCTAGCCTCTGTCAGCAACAAACCTCCGGCAGTCTTTAACTCCGCCTCGGCAACCTGCATTGGTTGTACATAGGGTCAAGGCAATCATGAACCTTGGTTCAAACATAAGAGAAAATGAAAAGTAGCCAATAAGCCCATATTAGGGTGCGGAAAAAGCATAAAACTGACAATTAGTAGTGTGACACTGGACGTATAATAGTAAGGAAGAGACAATCAAGTGTGACTATAAGCCAAGCCACATCGTAGCTCTAAATGTTCGTCAATACTAATAAGAGGCCTAACAATTACCAACGGCCTGGGACTGTTATGAGATCCTTCCAATTTATGCTTCAACAACAAACTCTTGAAACAATTTATTACAAAAGTTTCAAGTTTCAAAGGGCAACAAACCTTGATTAGAACTCTATCATTCAAAGGCTTGAGATCCTTCACATCTTCGGTTTCAAGAATACCGACTATGTCATCATCCTTCAGGATAAGATGCTTCGCACCATTGAACTCCACCTCTGTCCCAGCATACTTAGAGTATACAACTTCAGCACCTGTCTGTACCACAGAAAGCAATCAGTAAACAGAAAAACTAGAAAATTATTTACTGTAGCTGAATAGGATTATGCGGAAGACATCACCAACCTCCACACTGATGCCCACTTTTGTCTTCCCAATTGTGTTACCCTCTCCAACAGCAACAACTTCACCTCCTTGAGGCTTTGTCTGAGCTGTGGTTGGAAGTAAAATTCCACCGCCGGTCTTCTCTTCCACAGTCTTGATCTTCACAAGCACTCTGTCGCCCAAAGGCTTAATTGAAGTGTACTGCAGAATCCAATCAGAACCCATTAACATCAGATAACCTAGAATAGCATGGAATCGACAAATTCAACAAAGGAGCTAACTTTATCAAACAACCAGCACAAGAAACAAGAACAGGCATACTTAAATCGAATTTTGAAACCTAACGTAATAGAAACCTTATCCAGAACAAGTTTTCGGGTCAACAATCATAACCCAATAAGCAAAACCAGTTTCAAATAGCAATTCTTCGTTCGACAAGATGAAATGGGTAGAGATTAAAATTCAAATTATGCATTCATACACATTAATCAAACAATTATCACCCCTAAATTACACATGCAAATAGCAAAACTGCCCAAAGCAACCAAATTTTACCCTCAAACAAAATGAACCATACAGAACAAAACCAAAGAAAAAGCCAAAGTAACAACCTTGGGAGCGACGGTGGTGGCGGCCTTGACAGCGAGGCCACGGAAGGAGCGGTGGTTGACAAGTGAGACACATGCCGGAGACCCGAACTTGAGGTTTGAAGGTCTGAGCCCTTCAAACGAAGCCAAACTCCTGGCCGAGATCGACGATGCGGTCAGCTGAGCTGCTGCCATTTCTGCAACAAATTACCCAAAATCAAATTCATCTATTCGCCATAAAACATGAAACAAAATCGTATAGAAACGCGCAACAGAACAAAACGCAGATAAATACGATTGAAACGACAGCGGAAATGGAGATTACCTGTTGAATTTGGAGGGCGGAGAGAGAGGACGGAGGAGAGGTTGATGGCCTAGTAGAGTGAAGAGGATAAAACCCTAGAGTGTTTGCAGATTGCAGGCTTTTGGGTTTTATCAGTTGTTAAAAGACGCTTCTAGAACTCCTTTGTTTTTGTCCCCCTCTTTGGTTGCAGTTGTGGTTCGGGTGCCTATTCAATTTGGGTGGGTCAACGGTACCCGCCCGAGCTCACAGCCTAGAGTGCACTCGAAAATGGGCGCAGAAGTGGGCATCTCTCTACGTGGGTAAGGTTGGGCTCATTCTCTAGTTCTAAATTTTTTTCGTGTAAGCTTGGAAATCCTCTTCCGCAAGCACACTCGTGTCTTCTAGCATGGATTTGGCTCCACCCTAAACCCTAAACCAAATTTAGCTACATATTTCATGCATTCGGATTATAATTCATTTACTTTGAATCTATCATTGTTCACATTTAATATATTTTCGACTTGTTAGTTCATAAGTTCAACAACCCAATAATTTTGAAATCCTGGGTTCGTTCCTTTAGGTAATAAAGTTATTCTCAAATAGCTAATACATGTTGAAGAATATAAGAATCTCATATTAGAAAACTTACAAAATTAAAAAGAATTTGATTTTTGGGAAGTATCATGATCATCCAATAAGAAAGGCTTCAATTTTTTTTTAAATAAACGACTGGAAGACCTATTGATTCTAAACAACTGATTGCAGAGTTTATCTTTCGGACCTAGCAATTCATAGATGAAAAAATGACGTACATATTGTTTTATTCCACTTCTAATCAGAGCGATTAGAAAAATTACAATCAATTTGTTGTGCAAGTGATCCAATGCAACTTGGAAAGCAAAATAGGGATCCGTTTCTTTGAAATCTTGACACTTAGTTTGTAGTTAGTTGTGTGCAAGTCACACCGCGGGATAGATATTAATTCCAAGTTGGCGGCTAGATGACCATGAATTCAAGAATCAGGTGATAACTAGCTAGTTGACTGTCAATTTAGTTTCCCACACTATTGATTGTCAATTTAATTTCTTTTTTTTAATCATATTCCTAAGTTCCAGAGACTTCAAATTCAGCTCATATATGTATAAGATCGGCAAGAAAACGCGCGAAGTGGTGGCAACTAAAATGATCGTTTAATAATCATTTTGGTTTTATCTAGAGAAGAAATACAGAAGGAAAATAAGAGATGAAGGATGGTGAGAGAAATGTATAAGAAAAAAAACACACGGAAAACATTAAAAATCAAAACGAAAATTTATTTTGAGTTGTTTTCACTTTTAAGGTTTTGTTTTCATTCATTCATCCGTTATTTCTCTTATATATATGCATTCGTCATATCTCAAGCAGAAAAAGTGAAAAGCTAAAAAACAAAAGAGTTATAAACCGACGTAGAAGAGAAGTTTACCTTGACCAGAAAGATAAGAGGTGTTCAAAATCACTTACGCACTGCAATGTTTTTTTCTTTCTTAAATAATAACACGTGATTGAATTGAAGTACTACCGCTAAATGAATTTAAGTTCTTCTAGAACTAATTGGTCTCGTTGAAATTACTAAAGCTAATTCAAAGAACGTTTACGTATTGAACAGAAAAAGTGGAACAAATTAAGACCCGTAAGTAGAGATTTAGAGGAAGAGACAAAGCACAGTGAAGAGGCATGCACCATGAATGGGGTTGGGAATCTTCGGATAAGCTGAGGTTTTAGCCTTAGATGATGAGAAATTTTTCATTGTAATGGGAACACAAGTGGTACATCATATGTTTTAATAGAAGTAGTAGAAAATTTTATTTTTTAAGGTATTAAATTTTTAGTACACATATCCTATCATTTGTTTAGTGACACGTGATGTACCACTTCGTGTACCGATCACACTAAAAAATCTCTCTTATATGACGCAATCCCAAAGACCTTATGTTGCATAGCGCAAGCGTGCTTGCGTCATCACATATGTGGGTATATATAAGTTTAGCAGTTTCTGAGAAAGATTAGAGCCTATTTGGTACTCTACTTGAATCCAACTTTTTAAACTAAAAAACAATTTTCAAGTTTTAGGCCTTAAAACCTTGTTTGGTAGGACTATTTTCAAAAACTGAACTCAAGACTAATTAAAAAATATAGTCTATTATCTAAAAACAAAAAAAAAAGAAGAGTTTTTAGAGTTTTTAAACTTAAACTCACTTATTTCTTTTTCTCCCTCCCCCCTTCTCACTCCAAATCTATCTCTCTTTTCTTCTCTCTCTCACCCTTGTCTTTTTTATTTTTAACTTTTTTTATCATCCAATCCGTTCTCTTCGTTCTCTTCGTTTTCTCAGTTCTTTCTCTCACTCCTCTTCCTCTCTATCTCCTCCGATCTTCTCACTTCTTTCTCTTTACTCCAATCATCTCTTACTTTCTTTCATCATCTCTCCTCTTTTTCTCTCGACTCCTTTTTATGGATCTTTTTATCTAGTTTAAGTTGTAAAATTTAAAAAATTTAAATCGCATACCAAACAAATTTTTGAGTCTTAAAGAAAATTGTTTTCAAGAAAAATTCTTAAGAAATGTTTTGAAAAATTATAAAAATTTTCAAATATGATACCAAACAAACCCTTAAATTTTGAAGACAAATTTGACAAGTGCAATACGACGAAGCTGGGAAACCGAGTAATCAATTGGAACTTTGGATAAGGACGACCAGATTAGAATTAAAGTGAAGACGAATACGTTCGTCAATGAAAAAGCTTTGAATAGCCAGAACTACATCCTAAACAACTATGTTCCAACAAGGCAATTGGAACCATCTGGACCCGAGAAAGTGAAAGGTTCCACGCTTTTAACTGCAGCATGCACTTTCTTTGGAGTCGAACTCTTAAGCAAAGACACAGTTTCTTCTTTAGTTACCAAACTGACCTGGACTAACCTAGGAGCGGATCTACCTTGGGACAAGGTGATCAGTTGACACCCGCAAGCTCAAAAATCTTTTATAACAGAGATGGGTGCTGCCCTTTAAAAATATGAGATGCCGTTGAAAAGTGTCTTCCATCTGCTAGATGAACTAGTGTAGTTGCTGACCTCATGTATTTGTATATCTTGCTATGGGCATCTGTTGATAGCATCACTCAATATACATTGGCATCTGTCATCAAACTCGTTAAAAAACTATTGACATCAATCGACATGCTCACTCAGAAAGTGTTAGCATTTGTCAACATGCATGTAATATAACTTGACAATTAACTTCAAGCTTACTAAAACTCGATAAAATGCTAATTTGCATGTTATTATGTCCGCACAAAAAATTGCACGTTGTACGCACCATTCTTATAAACCTCCAAATATTTTCAGAATCTGCTTCTAGACTTGCCTTTTCATTGTTGTTCAGGTTTGTCCCGCGGTGACGCTGCTACTAGACTTACCCCTTCACTGTTGTTCAGGTTTGTCCCGCGGTGACGCGTAGTTGAAGTTGAATTGATATCGTAGTGTAGTTGTTGAATCAAACTTTTGGGTGTGCTGAAGCTATAAATGTACCTATTTTGGTCTTTAAAGAGAAAAAGACGTACGGCGTTGACGCTTTTTGATATCATTTTCAAATGCTTAGGTTTGTGATGACGCATTTGGGCACTCAATTTGTATACTACATTAGTTTATAAAACAGACAAAGAAGCATGTGTATGTAGTGCACAATTTTATTCTATTGAAATGCAAATATTTGGTTGATACACTATTGATATATCGTGGATATTACTAAACTTAATACTTTTTGAATGGAACATTTCAGCTCATAAGTGTTTTTACTATATGTACTTTATTATAAACACGTTGAGAAAAATGTTTTTTGAAAAAGTACTTGTCATGTGGTTATTTAAAAAACACTTCTATAATATATAAACACTTTTAAGCATTTATGCTTATAGGCATTACGGGTTTCTGGTCGTTTCATTCTAGAAAACAAGTCTCAAACAAACTTTTTCGTTAATAAACATGACTGCACTTTATAAATAATCATTATTTAACACTTGTGTTTACATATGTACCTTGTATGTTTATACTAAATTCATAATTTATAATTGCGGGTTGACGATCGAGTTTGAATAATTCTTAGTAACTTGCTAGTGAGTGAACTAATTCATAGTAATAGTCTGTATGTGCATATATAGATGATGGTTTTGGACTTCATTCTTCAGTTCTACCATCTTTTTTCATTATTTGTTTAATAAGCTTGACAATATCAAAGTGAGAATCACGCGCGTGCTTATTCTTATTTTAATAACAGAGGGCATGTTTATATATATAAGGATTCGAAAATATACGCTTTTGATACACATTTTAACACACATTTTGTAAAGCACACTTTGCAAAGCATTTCAACGATCTAAATAGTGTGTGTTTTATTGCATCATTCACGTGTCATCTTTGCAAAAAATTAGACAAATCTGAAACCATTATGACATTCATTTGTACTGAAGAAAATGGACAAATACGATTTTACAAGAAACACTAAATTTAATTCAGTGGTCATATAGTTTTGAATTTTGGGGATTTCGGTAGACATGATTTTTTAAGGTAAGACATACAAGATAGATTATTGGATCGTTAATATACATTATGAACTAAGCTCCACAAAAACATGTCAAAAGTATGTGTCCCCAATCCTATCATATACATATATATATGCACCGTTGAAAACTTAGCTCCTTTGTTCTTTATTTTCTTTCTAAGCGATTATGAACTTTTCCTTTTCTTTTTTTTTTTATCAATGTGAACTTTTCCATTTTTTTTCTTATCAATATGAACTTTTCCTTTTAATTAATAGTATCTTGACTTTCCTTTGAGATAGAATGTCTATAATCACATCAGAATCTTCGGATCCCTTATTATTATATCGCTCTCACTCCTTCTTTTTTTTTTTTTTAATTTATTATTATTAAGGAGTTAAGAATGTTCAAAATTATTACAATAATTTAGGACATAAAAATTTTCAATATTGAAACTCAAGTGTGGAAGCTAACACCCTATCATTGAAATATTGGACCACATGCTATTATATCGCTCTCTCTCTCGTTATTATACAATCTTATGTTCAATTTTGACAAAAAGTTATTAGGTAATGTTTATGTTTGGGTGTAGACGAGATTAATTCAATGCAATCCTATGTTTGGTACTAAAAATGAACTATAATTCCGTCATTTTGCAATCTTGTTGGATAACAAACTTGTTTTTAATATACAACGGTATAGTTACACTAAGGGGTGAGGTTCAAACTCACCATGCACGAGAATCAAACTTAACAACATTTCATTACAATTGAAGAATAATAATACTAAACCGCAATATTAAAGTGGTGTCGAATTATTAATCCTTAGAAAACGCATGATAACTAACCTTAATTATTGCGCAAACTGAAAACGTGAGCCTAAACTCAAGTATTAGAATCGAACTCGAGACCTTGGTGTTCAGCTCTCAATACTTCCAATTGAAACCTATGTTACGTTAAACACAAAATATTATTAAAATTATTGTAATTCATTCTAATTGACATTGTTAATAAAAATCAAATTCAATCTTAGGTACCAATAATAATCCATGGGAACATTGCGAGTCCAAAATTTTCCCAAATTAGTCACTTGCTTTGATTTTCATATTTTTCCAAATGAAGAAAAAAAATTAAAAAAATATGGGGTACAGTGCACGAGCCGCAGAGGAACAAATAACACACGTGCTTCGAAACCCGCCTCTCTGAGGCTCTTCCCCCGCGTAAAATTTCGTACTGCCACTCTCTGAAGCCGCCATTTGTCCCTTCAAATGCCATTCCCCAGACGCGGCTAATAAGTATTTGACCCACCCGCAGTCCTCAGTCAAATCCCCCTTTCCTCCCACACTCCCCCCCCCCCTCCCCCACATATATATACCCACCGGCCGCAAATTCCATAAACCCCATAACCCACAAAGAACACAAAGAACTGAACAAGCACTTCTCGCAAAAGCACTTTCACTGCATGTCAAACCACTTCTCCAAAATCTTTGATACGTCGTCGTCGTCGTCGTCGTCGTCCATGCTGAACCAGACGAGCGGGGAGCCCTCCGAGCGAAACGACGTCAAGTACAAGGGCGTCCGCAAGCGTAAGTGGGGCAAATGGGTGTCGGAAATCCGCCTCCCCAACTGCCGCGAGAGAATCTGGTTGGGATCCTATGACACGCCAGAGAAGGCGGCGCGTGCCTTCGACGCGGCACTCTTTTGCTTACGTGGTCGCACCGCCAAGTTTAATTTCCCCGACAACCCGCCGGATATTCCTGGGGGAAGGTCGCTGAGCCCTGCCGAGATCCAGGTCGAGGCGGCGAGGTTCGCGAATTCGGAGATTCCGAGGAGCCACCAGTCGATGTCGGCGCCGCAGGCTGAGTGTCAGTCCATGTCGGAGTTGCAGGCCGAGTCTCAGTCTCCGTCCCTGTCGGAGGGCAGTGGGACCGCCTTCATGGACACTGATTTTCAAGTGACTCCAAACGAGTCGCTTTCGGACCTGTTTGGTTCATTCGGGTCGGGTAATTACGCCACGGAGTACGGTTTGTTTCCGGGATTTGATGAAATGAACGGTCAGTTTTTCAGTCCAGCATCGGCGGCACCAACGCCGGCCGTTGATTACGCGGAAGAGAACTTGGACGGTCAGTTTTTCAATCCGGCCCAGGAGTCTTTCCTCTGGAATTTCTAGAGAAGTAGAGAAGTAGAGTACAAATTAAAATTACCAAAAAAAAATAAAAAATTAATTAATTAATTTTTAACGGGTCGGAGCCCCGAATAGTTTTAGTTTGTGGAGCTTTGATTAAAAACCCGGATTATGGATGAACCAATTTTTGTGCGGCCATCCCCTTGATTGAATTCATTGTTCATGTTATTGGTACAAAGAAATTTCCCACAGATGGTGTAGATTTTTGTGAACTTTGTATTTATTCATTGAGAATTCAGTGGAAATATGTCTTTAATTCATGTTTTGGACTGAGCAATACTCTAAACTATTTTCATCTTCGAGAAAAAAAACTTGCGTGTCACATAGTCAACAAGTTTAACCTACGTCTCTTATTCAACATTCTTTTTTATCTTAAGCGATGTACTCTTATAAGTTAAACTAAAAAGAAAATGTTTAAACTCAAAATACAGTGAATAAAAGAACAATACGTTGTCTTCAAAACTAATCTACCACTTGCAATCTCTTTTTTTATTTTTTACTTAAAAAAAATATGAACGAAAGGGCATTATAATCCCTTTGTATAACACTCTAGTATGCACCCACGTTTTAAACAAGTCATGCATCTTAATTATATCTCGTTTTAAACAAGTCATGCATCTTAATTATATCTCAGTCCAAATCCAGAGGGTCCGGCAGTAGTGAAAAGGCCACCTAACCAATTACACCATGGGTGCTTCTATCCGAATCCAACTATCCAACAAAACGGTATTGCTATTTGCTTACCTATGCAATCACAAGTTATCGGGACAACACGTGACATGTTAAAATAATATTAAACGTCACTAATTCACTTGTAATGTGCAATGTTCACGTTTGGCCAAGGTCTCGTTAGCGACAGTCTTCTTCGGAGACTTGAATTTGAACTAAAATCAAGACTCATCTCATAAAACTAAAAGAATACCAGGAGATGGTCAAGTTTTGTTAAGGGAATAGAAATTTGCTAAATCATTTAAGTTTGGTTGTTATACATTGACAGATGGAAAATCTCATCCCTCAAGCTATATATCATTCTCTGAGATTTGAACTACTAGAACATTTATATATATATATATATATATATTTTTTTTTTTTTTTGCACAAACGATATTATCTACATTAAGGGAGTGGGAAATTAGGCTAAGCCTCATAATGAGCTAGCAATAATGTAGTTCAAATTCACTGTCGGCGAGAATCAAACCTAAAATCTCTTACTTACAAGTGAAGATGAATACTACGAGACTGTAGTACTAAGTGACAGAAATTAAAGCTGCAGTGCCTTTGAACACCGACTACACTGATAGAAACCCTAGTTAATTTACAAAACAAGATACTTAGATCATCATGCTAGCTAGTATAACTAATTTCATGGTACAAAATTATTAAGAAAACCTAAACTCTACTCGCAAACTGCTTCCACAGCCAGCCACTTCACAGCATCACCGCAATTTGTTGAGCCAAATTTGCTGTCAGAAACATCGATCGAGCACTTCCCTTTGCCCACACATTCGTACAAAATCATTAGGAAAAAGAAATAAGAATTTCTTAGCTATAGTAATGTAAATAGAAAATTAGGGTTCATGAAATTTAAGTTGACAGAAAATTTAAGAGTTCAGAAAAAAAAAGACTTGCCTTTTGAAGGATATGGACAATGCACTTGCAGAATCACAACTGCCTTTATCAAATGATCCACATGCAGGTTCCTTGTGGATTACCAAAACTAGCAAACTTGGTTGCAGAATTGGACGACCTCATGCCAATTCCACTGTGTGATTCTCATATGCATGGGCACAGACAGCTCCAACTTGGATAGTTAGGAAATTCACAAGAGATGGATTGCCACCAAACTCCTCAAACAAAACAATTGTATTTTCCCCGTCTTGCATAAAAGATCGAGGAACATGGTACCTTCAATACAACTCGTTATTAAAATACTAAGTAAATAAACTTGAATGCGAAAAAATAGAAAGTTATTACCATCTTTGGGTAGGATTGCCACAGTTGAAGGAATACTTCTTGTTATCATATGAACCACAGTAAGCACAAGCATCGAGACTACAACCAGTGTCGTATGACAAATAACTCGGCCAATATCGCCCGATACTATGACCACTGATCCAAGCGTGACCTTTACCTTGTAAGTCCACGGCAATTGGATCAGTTCCAAGAGGAGCTTTGAAGGTTGCCTAAACAAAATCAAACAACAACAGATGTTATAGTTTGTCAAATTTAATAAGTAATCATATTTGAGTTAAATTTTTGTATATATAGTAGGTATAATTACCTTGTACTATGTCAGCATCCGGTTAACGAGTCAGTTTTTTGTTGTTATACCAGCTAGGAGCGTAACGAGAATCAGTACTGAAGAGCTTGTTTTTCAAGCCATGAAGTCCAACCTTGTATATATGGCCATTTGTGTGCGGATAGAACTTTGATCACAGTTTCATCACCATTTTGTCCCACAAACCAGTACAAAAGGACAAGGAATTCCAGTTTTGATCTCTTCAAATTAACCTCCGTAATTCTAATATTATTCAAATTAGGATTCAAAGTTCTAAATAAAATGAAAAAACTAATCACACTTAAGTATTTGTTTTTAACAATATAATACTAACCGGAAATCCAACAGTAGCACTCCACAATGAAATAATGTTCTTTCCAGGATGTAACTTGACATTTTTCTCGAAAACATAGTTGAAGACGTAGTATTGAGCCCATTGAGAACCTATGAAGGATGAGAAAATAAATAACCTTAAAACAACAAATTTGTAAGTATATTAAAGATTAATCAAGAAACAATATTGGTTAATCTTACCAACATATTCCCCTTTGACATATGCAAGAAGAATAAAACCAGCGTCATTGACCCTTAAAGCCATATTCTTGCTCCAGATTGGTTCATATTTCTTGAGATGAACACTGGCCAAAATTCAAGATAAATAAATTAAGTAAATCAAACCCTAAATATATATATATGGAAGGAAAAAACAACTTGAAAATAAAAATAAAAATATCTTCAGTACCTTGTCATGTACCAAGAGGTCGCACTTGGTGCGATGGCAAGTGCCTTCGCCCATGAGTGATAGGTCTCGGGTTCGAGACTTGGGAGTAGCCTCTCCATAAATGGGGGTAAGGCTAGCCGACATTCACCTCTCCCAGACCCTGCGTAAAGCGGGAGCCTTGTGCACTGGGTACGACGACCTTGTCATGTACCAAAGAGAATCACCAGAATCGTTTCCAGCTTCTTTTTGATCCATAAGTTGATTTGCAGTACCTTCTCCCATTGCAAGGAGTCTGGTGTCATCAATGGTCTCAGGCCTCCACGACCAAGCAAATGATTCGGGTTCATCTTCAGCTTTGTTCACTACCTTCACCTTAACTGTTGTTTGTGTGTTGACCTAAAAATATGTATGCAAAAGAAATTCAGAAATACTTAATAAACCAGATTACACACACACACACATATATATATATACATGAAACAATAGTTGTGAAAGTTTTTGCAATTAATCAGGAAGAATACCAACAGACCAGGCAGGAAATGGTGTACGTATTTCCTCGAACTGCTCTCACAAATTACACGCTCTCTACTAAACGAAAGTCCTATTGTTCGTTTGAGCATGGAGTATTTGCAAGAGAGGAGAAAGTGCACAATTTAGAGGTCTGTTTTGTCCTCTGCTTCTACAGGTTAGTTTAATTTATCGAATTCTAGTTTTGATACTTGTATGATTTGTGGTTCATGAGCTTAAACTGTTTAACTTATGTTTTTTTTTAGAGTAAATTGTACAAATGGTCCCTCAACTTTAATCAAATTGGAGCAATGGTCCCTCAACTAAAAATCCATTACCATTGGTCCCTCAACTTATTAAAATGTGTAGCTATAGTCATTTTCATCAATTTTGTCAAAATTTTGTCAAAATAAGCTATGTTGGAATGACCATTTATATAATTAGGGTCCCTTAACTCATCAAAGTGTATAATTATGGTTCTTTTCGTCAACTATGTCAAAAAAATTGTCAAAATGAGTTATATTAGAATGACCATTGCTACAATTGGGTTAAAGTTAAAGGACAATTTCTCCACTTGAATTAAAGTTCAGGGACCAATGGTAATAGATTTTTAGTTAAGGAACCATAACTGCACGTTTTGATAAGTTGAGGGACCAAAGGTAATGAATTTTTAGTTGAGGGACCATTGCTCCAATTTGATTAAAGTTGAGGGACCATTTGTACAATTTACTCTTACATTTTTATAGGCTTCCGGAACAGAAGATCATGAACAACCCTAATTGGTAGTTGGCAAGGCAGTTGGTGTTCCACTCTTGCATTTTCTACTTATGATTTTCACTCAAGATCTTTGTTTAATTTTTTTCTTTTTTTTTTTTGAGAATTCTTGCAAGTTGCATCCCCTTTTTAAATTCGAATGCCATAATAAACATGAGTGGGTGTGAGGAAAAAAAAAAAAACGTGTTTGAAAATCACTTCCCTTTGTCTTAAATTAAGTGCTTTACTGCCTGTTAGGTTGCCAATAAAATATGAGCATATGTGTATGGGGGTTTTGTTTCTCTACGTAGCATTCCTGATGTGTTTGGTCGTCCAGCTTCATCAGCTGGCTGATGTTGTTGTAAATTTAATCTTTCCTGTTCCTGATGTATGCCTTTGGGCCATGCTCTAATTTTCAGTCATTTTGGTGTTCTGTTGTACGCCTTGTGTTGCAATTTGCTTGATTTTCACTAGACCTGCAGCTGGTTTCATGCATATTTCCTGGGAAAATTGTGGCATGAGCAAACGAAAAGCCAGAAGCAGTAAACAGCTCCGGCGATACAGTTCTTTCAACCTTGCGTATATGGACCTTCACAAGGGTCCTCTTATTATTCATCTTCCCATAAGATGAAAGGAGAGTGAATTATTTCATAGTTTAATTGTTGCAACATTTAATTAATTTGATTCCATGGTTTGTTCTATTATCTATGTTATGTAAGACTTAAAAAAAAGAGTAAATTGTACAAATGGTCCCTCAACTTTAATCAAATTGGAGCAATGGTCCCTCAACTAAAAATCCATTACCTTTGGTCCCTCAACTTATCAAAACGTGCAGTTATGGTTCCTTAACTAAAAATCTATTACCATTGGTCCCTGAACTTTAATTCAAGTGGAGAAATTGTCCTTTAACTTTAACCCAATTGTAGCAATGGTCATTCTAATATAACTCATTTTGACAATTTTTTTGACATAGTTGACGAAAAGAACCATAATTATACACTTTGATGAGTTAAGGGACCCTAATTATATAAATGATCATTCCAACATAGCTTATTTTGACAAAATTTTGACAAAATTGATGAAAATGACTATAGCTACATATTTTAATAAGTTGAGGGACCAATGGTAATGGATTTTTAGTTGAGGGACCATTGCTCCAATTTGATTAAAGTTGAGGGACCATTTGTACAATTTACTCAAAATGTAAAGTCAAGAGTAGTTGGAAAATTTGGTACAGTTCTAAGACACTGCTGACTGCCAGAAAGAGGATCCTTCCTGGTCCTTCCATAAGAACTCGTGAGTAACTAACATTTACCTTGGTCAATGCCATTTTTCTTATTCCAACGTTTTCAGCCGAAGGTAGCGTTTTCAAGGGGTTTAGAGCTCGTTCGGAAGTATTTTAAAATAATTGAAAGCGTTTTTAGTGAAAATGTTAATAGAACTAATTTTCAGTAAAAGCACAAGTGAATTCTGAAAAAAATACTTAAGTGCTTACCGGAAGAAGCATATAACTGAAGTTTTTTCTAAGAAGCAATTCAAGTGCTTCTTTGGCATCGCGACCTCTGACCCTATCGATCTTATGTTAGCATTATTCGACGACGAGCCCATTCATCGAACTAGGCCTTGATGCACGTAACTCGACCCAACACTAATATGGCTCATATGAAGCTCAACTTGGTTGGTGAATATTTGATCAACTTGTACAAGACCAGGACAAAATGGAGTAGTTTTAACCAAAAAACAAAGAACATAATGGAGTAGCAAAAGTCCATACATGGCCAAAAGGTGATATCGCTTTCGAATATTAAGGTGAAGGTAAAAAATGGTACGTCGACATCTTACATCTAAAAATTATAATTTAAAAAGTAGAAAGTTGAGGTTGAAGGGTACATGTTTTTTCAATATATTTTAACTTTATGTATAAATTTTAGTTTTTATTTATATTTTAATTGTTGTTTTGCAATTAATAATTTAATGTTGTCAACATCTTGACGCCCTCTCATGTGTATATGATTCTTAGGTCGTTGTCGTTGGCCACTGAAAGAAGTGTCGATTTAGATTGGTTTATTGTTTTGTGGCGTTTGAGACACTAGGAAGAATTAATTCGTTGTATATAAATTGTTCTTGTAGACTTTCGTCATAGTCTTGTTTACTTTTATATGAAAATAAATTTACATAGAATAGATTTACCGCCGTCTGTGATAGATCCAAAATTTGATGTTTATGTACGGGGAAATATCGCCACACATGGTTTTCAAGGCCCCGTCGTGGTTTGTTGACGTTTTTGGAGCTTTCTCTTCTTGTAAAACATGTACTTAACCAAATGACCAAATTGCCCTATGCTGGTAATACAATAGTAAAGCCTTTCCCTTTCTTTGAATTGGTGTTCCTCTTTATTATATGAAAAAGATTAGAGGCTTTCATCACCACACATAAAAAAGTAAAACAAATCTTATTACTAAATATCTCTCAATATTAAATTATTAGCCTGAATTATTCTGAATACATAATTACATATTTTAAATTTATTCAAAATGTTTGAGTAGATTCTTTGAATAACAATTTAATCTTCTCAATTAAGAGTTATTTACATAAGCCTGTAAAAATAGTAATAATGTGTGTTTCTCGAAATATTTAACAACTTATTATCAACATTAACAGATCAGAATATGCTTGATGTATTCACAACATGAATTGAAATCTCGTATCTCTATTTTAACTCATTTGAAATACAATAAGTTAATTTTTATATTTAATAAATAAATTTTCTAAAATTTAAAAACGAACATTCAAAAGTTACATAAAAACTACACGTTTTAGTCACCCAATTAAAAATTGAGAATATAAAACGTAGAAGACAGCTAATACTCTCAAACAAATTGTATTTTGTCCCCTTATGGGAACATCATAATGCAAGGGTATTATAGTCATTTCCAGTTGCGAACAAGAAACCAGGCCCGCATCGCTTTCAATGCCGGAAATGGGCCCCCAGTTTTCTGTGGGCTCATACAGCTCTCTCTTTTAGTGGTTTTAGTGGTTTCGTAATTATTGCGGTTGCACAATTCCTTTGGATCTCTTACACGTGAAGCCAATCCGACGGTGCTAAAGCTAAAGGAATCTTATGGTGGGCCCTGACTGAGTATGTGGTCCCAATAATTGCAAAAGGACATTTCCTAAACAATTGCCTCTTGACAAAGTCATTGATTGGAACCAATTTTATGATAAAATAATAATCATGTACTTAATAATTAGATTGATCTTAAGAGGAATCACCACTTCTGTACAATCTTTCTAATAGAAATGGAGTTTACCAATACAATTAAGTCATGCTTCTATTAGACAGGGAATTGGATCCCCTCCTGAGCAAATGATGGGGATCCTCATGATCACACAACATCGGCTGTTGAATTTTGATCCAACGGTTACAATTATTATAATTTTTAGAGGGATTCCTTAAAATCCAACGGTTACAATTATTATAACTTTTAGAGAGATTCTCACCATTTGCTCAAGAGGGAATGCAAATCCATTAGAGAGTTCACATGTGGTTTACAAAATATCATTCTGTAGCATTTTCGAAATAATTAAAGAAATAAGTGATTTTTGCACCAAGTTTTTACTCTTATTTCTATAGAGAAATAAACTAAAATGATGAACTTATAAATCTTAATTTTAAAAATTATCTTTCTTTAGTATTTGACTGATTTGTTGTCATTAATTTGGCGAACACATCGTTAGTATTTTCTGAACGATTGAGCGGTTGAGATTTATAACTTCATCATTTGAACTAAAATTTTCTTTTTTAACAGGTGGTTGAACAAATCAAATAAGAATTAAATTACAGATAAAAATGAGATAGAAAGATAAAACGAGAATGAAAAAGGAAAATGATGAGCATACGTTTTATTTATTTTTATACGCTTTTCTTTATTGATACAAACCATTGATTGAATTGAACAAATAAAAGAAAATCAACAAACATATTAAAATAAAGTGTTTAAAAAAAGAAAAAGTGCTTTTTATGTTCAAGTTCTCATACCAAATTCATTTCCCATAAAGTAACTCAATGATTTCATGGATGTTTGAAAACAATCATCACCCACATAATTCCAAAACAAAACCATGGGCTAAGTCCCATGTCCACCCACTCCACCATCATATATTGGAGAGCCTAAAACTAAAGAGCATTCCAAATACACTCAACACTTTCACTTTTCTTATGTTGAAGTTTGCCAAGAGACCTTTCCCGATGATCGGAAAGATATCGGAACTCCTAGTTTCCGGCAACCGTGCAGGGTTTTCCGACACGGGGACAAGCCCTAGAAGTCCATTGGACCTCAAGATGCAACCTTCTCCGAGTCCTAGAGGCTTGAAGAGCTACGACGTTGGCGGTGTTGGGTTGGGCATAGTAGCTGCCTTGGAAAAATCAGCCCTTAACGGACGTGAAATATTGGCAAAATACGGCGTGTTCTGTCCGAACACGAACCGGTCCGACCCGATTCCGGTGAACTCGGGTAAAAACAGTGATGGGTTTTCGTCAACAGGTGGCCAAGAATTTGAGGAAGATAGTCTGGAGAATTATACTTACGTGACTCTTCGTGGACAAAACAAGCCATGCACGAAGGTGTACTATGACGGAGGTGACTGCGCGGGAAGTGCCATGCACCGCCCTACCGGTAACGGTGGTTTGACTATATGTGACGATGATCTTGAAAGCTCGGTTTTTCCGACGTCGGATTTTCTCAGTTGCTGCCATTTGTGCAAGAAAAGCCTTCATGGAAAGGACATATACATGTACAGGTATACAACCTTGACAATCTTTTCTTCTTGTTCATTTATTCGAGTGATATTCTAACTAATCTAATCTAAACCAGCGGTAAAATATTCGAACTTGAGTACAGAAGAGCGGTTAAAAAACCTTAAAAACCATTCTTCTTAGTGTTTAGCTTTTATTTGTTGGTGTTATGTTTGATTAGGTGACTAATGTTTTATGTGTTATTTTTTACAGAGGAGAAAAGGCATTTTGTAGCACAGAATGTCGGTCAACCCAGATAATTGCCGATGAGAGGAAAGAGCAGTGCAGATCAGAAGCTTTGAGATCAGCAGATGCTTCGAGATCATCGTGTTCGAGAGAGGAGATCGTCTTCTCCACTGGGATTCTTGTGATTTAAGGCAGATAATTACATAGACGGCCATACGCTATACATTTATACATATGTGACGATAATTTGAAAACAGAAGAAGGTGTTTGTGAAGTCGGTTTTGACGAAGAAGCAGGCTAATATGGACCATATCACAGGGGATAAAATCCCAAGGAGCTTTGTGTTTTCCAGGTCCTCTGAAGCAGCTTCAAAAATTTTGGGTAAATGGTATCGATCGGGCTTGTATTTTGTTATGACAAACATGAACAATTTTGAATAATAAAGAACATGTATAAATCTTGATTTGAATTATACATGGTCCGACGAGAGTATCGAATTGTTCTGCTGATCCAACGGTTCAGACTGTGTTCGTATTACAGAATCTCAAAACTCGAGTTTCATGATTCTGCATATTAAAACGGTTCAAATTGTGTTCGTATGGCAGACAGTCTCTAAAAAAAGATTTTGTTCCAGTCTTTATTTTATTGCTAGCTAGTGGCTTTTACTGTGTTACTGTTATGGAATATTTCTATAAATATACTTTACAGTAATCAGTAATCGAACGAATTGAAGAGGATAAAGTGTACAAATCCAGTCCCATTCGATTGAAAGCTTTCTCCTTCGAATCGGACACAGTTGGACCCCATTTTTGATGACTTCTCAGCAAAAATTAGACAGTGACCCCCCAAAATTAAGCGTCCACCAACAAAGAGCATCCATATCCTATAGAGTATTGATGCCTGGAAAGTTCAGTTCAATCAGTCTCACTCCCCTGGAAAAGACTTGTAAGACCATAATATTTACAAGAGAAATGATTTTCGTACACCTGTTTCTCTTACGACAATTCCAAGTGTAATTTTAATCATCAGATTAAACAAAGTAAACACACGTTTCTCTCTTGGTAGTCCAAGTGTAATTTTGGCCGTCATGTTAAATAAAATAATGGAATTAAGAGACAAATGAACAATCGTGTGCAGAAGAAAAATTAAGTGTGGGGATCATTCATGTATCCACAACTAAAGTCGGATGTGCAATAGTCCATTTTAAATTTTTATATGATATTCGTAACCAGTCTCATCCACCAAACGAGTCAGAAATCCCGTGGCCCTACTAGGGCAGAATTTTGGATGCGACTATTCTGATTCTCTCGTTACATGATAGTGTAACTAGGTCACTTGACAAGTGAGAAAGAGGAGATATACAACCGATTACATGTTAGAATCCCGACGGGTGTATGCACATAAAGTCTTTCCAACCGAAGCTCTTGAAGCCATCTAGACTGTTCATTTGGTAATATGAAATCCCACAATGACTCGCTAATAGAAAGCTGTCAATAAGATCATGCTAAGCTGAGTAAGGTCATAACCCCGAAATGTTACAAAAGCACAGTATCCATATACACAGTGCAGGTATAAGTTATAAAGATACATAAAATCTAAAAATTACAAAGAAAACCACCTTAAAACGAAAAGAAAAAAAGGAAAACCGAAAAACGTTTACACATCCTATAGGTTTTCTCAAACACGTATTCCTCAGCGTCGAGGTATATCGGGGGGGGGGGGGGGGGGGGGGGGGGGGGTCCCGACTCAGTTACTGGTAGTACATGAGTTGCTGAGTTGTTGCTACATTATGGTAGCCACCGTCGTATATGGCCTGACTAGCTCCAGCACCCAACCCCATGGCTGCCTTCAGTGCATGCTGACCCTGCGGAAGCATGAGGGCTTGGGCGCCACCCATTTTGCTCAATGCCAGTTGTCTTTCATAGGCCACAAGGTCGGCGGCTGAGAAACCTGGAATGTGAACTGCAGCTGGTGGCGGCAGGGGGGTCGAGCTTGTCCCTGGTGGAGTAGGCTTGCTGCCCCATGAACACTGTTAACAGAAACGGAAAACATTAGATAAAGCCAAATGGTCACTCAACGACATCATTAGAACAAATACATATCGCAAATATATAAAACATCAGATGGTAAAGCCAATTGATCATTTGACAATACCATTAGGACATATACATATTGCAAACATTTAAAACAAGCATATGTGCCTGCTCCACACAACACTCAACACTCTAATACTAAGAAAAAGCAATCATCTAAAATCTAACATATTTGCCAAAAATTTGTCAATTATTGGTAATTCAACTGAATTGTGAACTCCGCCAAGAGTGTACCTTAATCGGTTTGCCACACAGAAACCTAGCATTCCCCAACTGGATAGCCACAGCTGCTTCAGAATGCGTACTGTATCTCACAAACCCAAAACCTTTATCTCGCTGCACCCGAACATCTTCAATAACTCCGGCACCAAGGCCATGGAAATGACGATGGAGGTCAGCTGAAGTAACCTGCAGAATAATGGTAAATCCTATTTACAACATTTTTCATTGTTTTTTGTGCAATTTTGACAAATGTAGACATTTATTTGTTATGCCCAATGGGAGTTCCATGCTAAGCAGAGCTGTTTGCCCATGGATCCTACCACTACCACGCTATTAACCTATGACCTTATAACATTGGTAACTTTGCAGTTTTGAAAATGGGCCAGCTGTCCACCACGTATACATATAAAAGCACAATCAAAACCAACAGTGAGGTGATAAGCTGACATTAGTTTGCTGAAGAAATCGGTTCTTGCACACTTTATTTACCTATGTTTAACAGAAATTTCAGACTCAAATGTATTTAGTCTAGACAGTATTTGACTTCATTTGCACAAGAACATTGTAATTACAGTAAAAAAAGAAAAGATATAGCCAATCCACAACCAGTTTAAAAGTTAAAGTTAAAAATGAAATCCTTGCCTCGGGAGATAGATTGCCCACATAAACTGTAGTATACTGAGGATTGTTCTCTGGAGCATCTTCATTAGGCTTCTCCTGACCATCGTCTGCAAGGGAAAACACAAAAACAGTAAGCTCATCATTATGGGAACACAAATGTGGCAGAAAATTAGAAAGTGAACATCTTATCTAACATCTTCACTACTCAAAGATTTCTGATTCCAATTCAAGATAATTTCGTACGATTAAAAAAAAACATTTTGGAAAACAAAGAGTAGACAACAGATTTAAGCTGCAAGATCTAAAGACAAATCATTACCTAGCAAACGTGCCCTCATAAAACAAAAATAATAGTTTCTTACACATTTATCAAGAATAACAATAACGAGAGCTACACCACTCATTCAAATCAAGGATAGTAACATACAAGGGAGAACACAAAACCAATGTTACTTCTACATAAGCAACTACAGAAACTTGTTTCGTTACAAATGAAGCAGTTTACCTGACGTTCCATTCGTCAGCTCTACAACACTTTTAGAATCAGTACTCTGCTTGTCATCACTGGAAGTAGCACCCTTTGTGGCCCAATTGCACCGAATCTGTCTACTTCCAAGCCACTTTCCTGAGATATCAAATCAAGAGTTATGTCATCATAGCACTTCTTAATGGGTAGTCACACTAACCAAAATCTAAATAACATATGCAAGGAAATAAACTTCCATCAAAACAATGTACATTGTCTTACCATTTAAGTCATTAATTGCACTTTGGGCCTCCTGAACCAAAAAAAACCAGTGGCACAATCATATAACGAGCCCAACCAGAGTGAGAACAAAAACTCAAAAGGAAATGTTTAACAATTTCAGTACCTGCTGATTTCGGAAAGAAACAAACCCAAAGCCCCTTGAACGCCCAGTTTTCTGATCCCACATAACTCTAGCATCTCTATTGACAGCAATCAGATCAAATTAATTTAAACAGCCAAGTATGTTTGAGATGGAGGTACTTCAATTATCCAATAGAAATAGGGAATTGTTACTGGCACTCCAAAATTCTCATTCTACACTCCAAACTTTCTATATTTAGAAAGAAAAATACACTTGTGAGGAGTGTAGAATAAGATTTTTGGAGTGCCAATAACATTTCCCTAGAAAAAAAACCCAAATTATCAAAAGGCATCAGCAGAATAACAGTAAACATCAACAACAACAAAGCCTTTTCCCACTAAGTGGGGTCGGCCAGTAAACATCAATGTTGAATAAATAAATCAAAAGACATGGAAGTGGATCTTACGAACAACTGGAATAACCAGAAAAGCATGCAAACAGTGTAGCATCAGTAACCTCAGGGCTAAGATCACCAACAAAAATATTAAAATGACCTGCACGCCAACATAACAATCATAAGAAATTAAAATTTTGGAACATATCATTCCATGATAACTAATGCATACACATCACTCCATGAAAACTGATGCATATACAAACCTGATGTATCCTCTCTCTGACTACTTGCATATGCCCAATTAACTTTAATCGGCTGCCCAAATCTGAACAAACAGCACATTCAGCAAAAGACACCACCAAAAAAACGAGAGCCAACATGATTCTGTAAAGATTTTTACTTACAGATGCCTGCCATTAAGGGTCACAATAGCAAGAGCAGCTGACCTACGATCAAAGTAGTCAACAAATCCATAGGATGACTGCATTGAGGAAACAACATGTAAGTAAAAAGTCTACCGAGGACATCTAAAAGAGCACTAATGAAAAGTACCAACATTTCATATGAACCCACAGCTCATCCTCAAATAGTACAAACAGACAAAAATTCTCGCGGGACTAAGAAGAATCTATCATCTGTCCTAACCTCCCCATCCAAAGAAAACACACAAAGTAGGCAAAAAAACCCCACCTTATCCTTCCTTATGAGCTTGCATCCTTCAAGTGGACCAGTACTGGCAAAAACTTCTTGCATAAGGGGTTCGGTAACTTGTGGGTGAATATTTCCAACATAACTGCATTGTTTCACGAATTACAACATTATAACATGCAATCTGATAAAATGACAGAGAAATGCAATATACCTAGCAGATGCTTCAAATATACAATGACTCATTACCCATCCCAAATATATTTAATATAAATAACATATCTATGCATGTCAGAAAAAGGCAACTGTGCCTGATATGCATGTGCACACTATTATTAGCACAATAGATTGCATTCATTTACATACGAACTAAATATTTCAGGCGATAAAACAAACTATTTTCAACGAGTACAAAGGAAGCTAGTTGTAAAGAAGAGTAAAATAAAATAGAAAAAGAAAAATATCTATACAACACTCACACGCTGCGGCAAGTACTTGAATCAAACCCAGGAGGCAGATTTCCACTCAAGATAGGCTCTATCTGCAAAAAAAAAAAAATTGTAAAAAAAAAAAAAAAAAAAAAAAAAAAAGCAAAAAAGGAAAAGGAAAAAAAGCCGAAGTAATGAATTTACACTCCCCACAAAAACTTAAAAGAGATGCATAAGCAAACAAATGGTTGAAACAATAAAAGACGACCACAGGCTTGGAGACAAGCTGGCATATGATATCAAAATTGACAGCAAGAGTCCAATCTATGTATAATAGCTACCCCCATCAGTTTCGAGCAATCCCGATAGAGTTTTCCCTTTCCAATTTTCCAATTTATATAGGTAGTAGTGACAAATACTAATACTTAGAGGTGCACAGTCATTTACCGATACTGATATTGTTCCACCTGTTCTTTATGCACACTTTATACGCCCTCTGTCGAACAGTAGATAAATAGAAACAAGGAAATAATAACAAGCAGGATAACCTACAAGACCAAACAGTAGTTTGCCACATTATATGTATAACAATGAGGTTCCTCAATGGAGAATAAGTACCCAGAAAGTATACAGCATTACATGATTACAGTTGATATAAAATTTCAACATTAAACAGTTAAATTTAGATAATTTCTGCTGAATTCCAATTAAGTTACAGAAATTTCTGGAAAAAAAATCCAACTTTTAGGATCCTTGTAACAAAGCCGCACACAGATCAACCAAAAACAAAAATCCCCGAAAATAAATAATTTCAATGGTAATAAAACAACATTTTATCAAACGTCTAGCACAAATTTCAACCTACAAACAAATACCCATATCCAAACAGCTAACAAGATCAAATTTTTGGCCCAACAAAGTGAACAAATTAAACAAATTAAACCAGATAGAGAGAGAGAGAGAGAGAGAGAGAGAGAGAGAGAGAGAGAGAGAGAGTGGGAGAATAGAACCTGAGGGGCCCCTAAGAGGGCAGGGTGTTGGTATAGCGACTGCTGCATCATGGCTTGCTGCTTGAACCTCTGCTGTTGCATATCGTCCTCCTCACGCAACGAAGAGAATTGGGGAGTTTATACAAATTGCTTAGCAATTGCAATTTTAGGGTTAGGGTTTCAGGGAAAAACGAAGACGCAGGTGAAATTACAAGGGAAACGAGGGAGGAAGAAGAAGAAGAAAAACAATGAAAAACCAAAAACCAAAAAAAAAAGGGAAAAAAGAAAGAAAAAAAAAACCCCTCTGGAAGAGGAGGGAAAGATGAGAAGGAAAAAGCAAAAGGATTGGGAATTGATTCAAGAAAATGAGCAGAGAGAGTCTCCGCTTTTATATCTGCCGAATTTTTATTTTTTACCATAAAAAATATTTAAATTATTATTATTATTTTTTTTTTTTTGTTGTGGTATTTTATCCCATTTGATTATTGTGTCATTTATATTGGAAACATAATTATGAATGCCTAATTTATACAGTCGTAGGTTAAACTTCTGGTGCCGAGGAATCAAATAATGGTGGTCAGAGAAGTTGAAATATTTTTATGAGTCTTTTATCACTCAAAAAAATGGATTGGCATGATAAAACCGCAAGTAGGTCTCCTTTTTATAAAAACTAAATAAATAAGTAGTTAGGCTAATTTTTTATGTTCAACTAACTTGTGGATGACGAAATCATATAATAGAAATCAACTACTTATAAAAAAATTTAAATAAAACTTTTTAAGAATAAATCAAAAATTTACTATCCCCTTAATAAATTAGTAATATTTCTCTTTACTAACAAATAAAACTCTTTAAGTTGGATTCAAAAGGATGAGGATGATGTATTCTTAAGTTCGATATTTAGTTAATGATTGACTTATTGTGTGGCCTGATCTGATCTAATCCTCATCTCCTTTTATAGTATAATATTGTTGTAAAAAGTTATATGAATCATTTAAACAAAGAAAATAAATTATTTTGGTTGTGAAATATAAACGAAGTAAAAAATTGCAAGAAAATGATATTTTTTTAAATAACAATAAAACAAAAATAGTCCCTTCTTGTTGGGCCAGAAAGCAACCAATTTCATAGATTGAGCCACAAAAGCAATAAGTTTGCTATTGGGTGGAGGATGTATCATAAATCCTCAAGAGTCAACTTAAGCCCAACAAGTTATCATCCGGCCTAATTCGGGGTCTCCTTAAATAGTGTAGTGACTTCAATTGCCATTAGACTTCAATTCGTAGAAAGTATTCAATTCACCAATATAGGTACCACTGAGACATTGAGAGTTCAAATCTTCTGCACCTAATTTGTGTGTAGCCATAAAGCGACACTCGTTAGGTTTATGGACAACAAAGTTAAGGATCGTTAAGTTTATGGACACGTGTCAATTAATGATAAGCCACAGAGAGGTCACGCACAAAATAAATGCAGAAGATTTGAACTCAAGAAACGAGAGATTTGGTAGCTCTATACAACTCTTGTCCACTTCAATGAGAAGTTGATGATTCAAGCCCTTCGGATGAGTATTAGAATTATCCTGGATCTCAATCTTTTTTTGTGCTAATTCACATGCAGAACATAATCAACAATGTAAGTTCCACTTCAAAACTCGTAATTCAATACTTGAAAATTTTACGAGTCAAATCAATTAGGGGATCTAGTTGATCTGATACCATGTTGGGGTTTATTGCTTCACTCATTCCAAGTAAACATACTTTTAAGGGTTGGTAGCAAATGAAAATGAACATGGATCCTTTTTGTGAGGATTCCGGGAATTTGTGAATCATATTCGTTCATCGTATATCGTGCGGTCAGAAATCCTTTTAAATATTTTTATTTAAAATTAAATACAAATAATATCTGATAAAATTTAACCGCACAATGTACGATAAATGAATACGATTTATGGATCCTCAAGATCCTTACCAAAAGGATCCGGAGAGGATCCTGTTGGAATGAAAATAATGGGTTAGAATATGTCAAGGTTTAATTTATTCATTTTTTATCATGGGCAAAGGCCAAAATAATCCAAACTCAACACCACCTACCTAGCACTATTGGGCTCAGAATTAGTAAGCCCCGTAAGCAGGAGCGATGAAACCCACTTTGTAAGGCACCCAAAAACCTCTCCATCTCCCTTTTGATAAATACGAATGCCGAACGCAAATGAGTTAGAAAAATTGCGAAAGCAAGTGATGAATTGTCATGGTGATTAAAATAAATATTTTTTTTTAAATTACTTCTCTTTCCCTTCTACTTATGTAATTGAAGCAATAATATTGCTTGTATTAGAAAAAACTACAAAAGCATGTGAAATCTATTTTATATCAATAATTGTTCATGTGAAGTACCAGGGGGTGACTTATTAGTTAGAGATGAATTTTAGGTCCCTATTCTATGTGACACGTTTTGGGTTCTTTCCTCGTACTGTTGACTTACAAGATAGTGGTTATAACGAGGATGAAATGCTTCTGTGAGTTTTTCTACCCCTAAAAAGGTAGATTGTCATGATAAAACTACCAACTGTTTCTTTTTTAAAATAAATAAATCAGACTCTCTATATTATTGAACATATTTCTTCAATTCATGAAATCCATCACAATAAAATAAAAAATAAATTTAAATTCATGGAAACATCACAATAAAATAAAAATAAAATTGAGTCGAAAAAGAGAGGCGACCCCACCTACCCACCACCAAGAACTTTGCATGTGATGCCCAATTAATAAAAATTGGCAAATACCCTATAAATATCTTCACTCGGCAGTCAGCATTCGTATGACTTTTGGAAGATAAATAAATAAATAATGTTGAAAAAAAGACATAGTCGTGAACAACGTGACAATTTCAAACCTCTTTGTTTGAATAAAGATGCTGAGTGCCTTGCAATGCAAGTGTCTGCCACTATTACTTTTTGTTTCTATATATCATATCATCTCAACTAAAAAAACATATTAATATATATATGAGCTGACTCGTTGCACTATTTTTTTATTTATAAACGTTTAAAAATACTTTTGTAAAGCTCATTTCATAATGTATTCATTGATCTTATAGTTTAGGTTTTTCTTAAAAAATTGTGTCTACCAAAATCTAAAATCATATGACATTAGACTAAAGGTTAAAGTTTATTTGTTGAACTATATTCGCTTATTTTCTTCAGTACAAATGAATGTTTTAATGGTTTTAGAGTTGTCTAATTTAAAAAAAAAAAGATTTACGAATGATATTTTAAAAGATAGACTGTTATGTTCATTAAAATGAATAAACTCCACAAAAGCGTATATCAAAATCATATAAAAAAATAATGTTACGAATCTGTCCATACATATAGTTGTATTTGTATACAATATACCACACAATTGTTGTATTAGGGAGAGTCGAAAGAGGCCACCCCTTGCCTAACCAAAACAATTCTTTGTTTATTATGGTCGACAAGAAAAACTATTCAGAATGCTTTCGTGTTCAAGTTGGAAACCGCGTGTTTTTAAGATAAGTTAGATGGAAACCACATACTTTCCGTGCACTTCATGAGTTACTTTTAAGTGGTAATTTTCTCGCTTATAAACCTTTAACGTTAGATTTAATTGCCAATCGGCAGCTTTTCTCATATTTAAATGGAGTCAAACAAAAAAAGCAACTCCATGAGCCAAATGAGATATTAAAAAAGTTTGAACAAAGTGATTTGTTTAATCTAATCCACAACATTTAATCTGGCATCACTGTCATTGTTTACAATTAGGCCCTAATTAGAATTAGGTTTTTTTAGTCAAAATGATCTTTATTATAACTCTTCACTTTGGTCCTTAATATTGATAATTAATGTATGTGATTTCTAAGTTTGTTAACAATCAATCATTTTGCTTCGTCCATAAAAAAATCTATGTCGAATGGAAAAGCAAGTGGACGGGTTGATTGATTGAACAAAAATTAGCCTCAATTTAACGAGATTTTCACATGACTACCAAAGTGATTGACGGTGGACAAACTTAAGAATCATTCTATCAATTTTCAATGTCAAGGATCAAAGAAATGAATTATGTCAATCTTATAAATTATTTCACTAAAAAGCCTTAGCATGAACATAAATGGACACTTCACCTCATTTTTTAATTAGCAATGTTTACTAACTTGTGGACACAATATTTTGCAGCAAAAAATGGAATAAAACCTAGAAAATGTGACTTGTTTGATTTTGTTGCGTGTTAATTTTCTAGTCCAACTTGAACAAGTCAATCATGTGAACCACAAGAGAAACACAATCCAAATCTAGTGATAATGCTGCCATTAAAGATAAGAGGAGTGGTTGAGTGGTAGTGGTTAATGTTCCAACATATTTAGCCATTAGCATCAAAACTCATTTCCCTTTAAGTCAAAGCATTGTGTGATTTATCAACTATATTATGCATGTTCCATTTCTAAAATTGCACGATTCAACATGACAACATGATTATTTGGTCTAATGACATTCAATATTTGTTATAGATAAAAGATGTTAGTGTTGAGAGTATAAATCTCACATCGAGAAAATGAGGGGTTGTGTGTGCTTATAAGCAATTAGACAACTTTCCATATTACCAATTGGTTTTACAGTAGAACCTCAACTTTCTTTATGGTATCAGAGCAGATTTATCCCTGTGTGAAACCCAACATGCAAACGTTGTCCATGTGTTAGGCTTGAAAATTTGTCACATTAGGAGACGTATTGAGAGTACAAATCTCACATCGAACAAATGAGGGACCTTCCATATGCTTATAAGTAGTGAGGCTCCTCCCCATATTGACAATTTGTTTTATAGTAAAATCTCAACTTTCTTCGATAATTCTTATTTTCTCATGACTATTTAGTACAGTGACACCCAATATTTACTTTGCTGGAAAATAATCTAATTTTATCTGAACTATTTGGTATAGCGACACCCATAATTCATTTAACTAATAGGTTTAACGACCCTTAATATCTACTATGCTAAAAAGATCAGAGTTTACAACACTCAGTTTTTACATTGCTGAAAAAACAGTATAATTTCATGTGAACTATTTGATCTAACGCCACTCAAAGTTCACATAACTATTTGATTTAGTGACACTCGCTACCTACTTAGATGAAAAATACCCAAGTGTACGATGGTCGGTTTTTTTAGTTCACATCTCATCAATGAGACTTGTTAATAAAGTAAAAAATGCACATAATAGTTGCCCACGTTAGAACCCACATGCTATTCTTTATTTGGTCAAACAAGGAATTCATATTGTATGGTACCACTTAGTCTTCCTACTTTGGACACAAACCACAAGCAATGGGGCCA